GCGTTTTACCGGTTATCCGACGGTGTATGTTCGCCTCCCTTCCTTGAGTAACGCGAATCGAGCTGTATATGGGGTGATCGTTTTCTATCGCGTCAACTGTCAATGACAGGTTTCTTAACAAATCCCGTGACTAAACTTCTCTTAACAAAGGTTTGGTGCACGTTACTGTTACTATTTTTATCTTTTTAACATCAAATATATATATATATATATATTTTAAAGGTTATAAGTTACATTTAAATCTCTATTTTTTTAATTAACATAATTAAAATTTTTTAATTAACACTTGTGTTTACATAAAAATGTATCTATAATTATGAATATATTATACCAATTTTTTTGCTCTTTTTTCTCAGCAAGTAGAATTTAAAAGTGTTAAACCGAATGAAATCTGAGATGAAAAAGTCAAATTGATCTAGAAAAAAAAACTTAAATATTTACAGTTTGCAAAATATAAGAAATTGCATTTCCTCAACTAAAATGCAATTTAAAAGTTCCATACAAGCATTAAGAGCTCTCTGTAACGTATATTTTAATATTAACCTTTTAGATTCTTCAAGGAACTTGTCATTAACAGTCAGCAAAGTAAATGTGGCAGAATCATATAGACACCCTATGCACATCCCCGTGTGAAATTGTTCGAGCCGCTTTTCAGCATCCAGCTGATCGATTATGCGGTCGGCTCTGAGAGAGATGCCCCGCTTATATCTTATCCGCGAGTAGTACATCTATACGGTGAATCTGGGTGTGCAGATGTGAGCGTCGAGTGAATGTGAACGTTTTCTCGCGAAGGTTTGCATCTCGTGCAAACCTCCAAGAAAAACCTACGTTGACAATACCACCCACTTGCGCGCAGAGCGGACGGGCGATGCGACGTGGTGTTAAATTATTTATGATTATCTCCGCGACTCGACCGTAAATAAACCCATTTTCCATTCCGTAACGTATTCTTCCGCTAAGCGATTCGGCTGTTTACTTTACATGTACACTTTTAAAATTCGGGCAACGTCAAAGGAGATTCGTCTCGAAATTCAAGACAAATTGCAAGTAATGCATTCTATTTTCTTCGTTGCGGAATACTAATTGAGCTATTAACGTGGAAAGTACAAATGGCGCATATAAATAGCTTTAACTCTTGTTTAGATGTCTAATAGATAGTTAGTTTTGCACAAAAAGGAAAACCCATGTTAATTAGTTATGTTATGTATTCCAACTTTGAATGCATTGTCCATGTAATTAATGAATAAGAGTATTTATATCACTTTAATAAAAATATTGAAATGCATTTTTTAATTCTTTTATGCGATGTAAAAAATAAAAAATATATTTATTCATTTTTTAAATCTCTCTTTTAAGAGTGCGATAGTTGTGCGATTGCATATTTATGCGAAAAGTTGTTAACTAAACTATAAAAAATTAAAATGAAAATAGGAGGAGATCAAAAAAATTTTATAATAATGCTTGACCTCTCTCTTCGTTAAAGTTTAATCGTATGAAAAGAAATCCGCAAACAACTGGACTTTAAATCGCAATACCAATATCCGGTGTAATCCGCGCCGCAGTGATATGGAATATTCGTTCATGAATACAGATTTGCGACATTAATAACACGTGCGGTTTGCTACAGGAGCTATACGGGACGCGTTTGAGCGTTAGTCTTGGTGCATCAAAGAGCGCGCGAGGATCACGCGTAGCGGGTGGAAAATTACGTCTAGCCCGTGCAGCCAAGTTGCTTAAGTTGGAGTTTAATTAATGCGCGAGCAAAAACACGCGGCGCTACTCGACAGCTCGCGAACGGGGGATGTGCGTGCGTGTGCGTGTGCGTGTGTGTGTGTGTGTGCGCGGGCGCGCGCGAGAACTCATGAGATTCTCATTGCACGATATTTCTCCCGTGACGTAGAAGCATAAATATTGTCGCGAAAGAGAAGGGATGTTTGCGACCTACGACGGTGGGGGCCTCGGAAGCGGGGAGGTGTCATTTTTATTAAAATAAAAAAATTAAGGAGGGAAAGGTAGGAGGGGACGAGGAGCGAGGAGTCGGAAGAGAAAAAAAGATATGGATTTATCATCAGGGGCGCGAGAGAAGGCGTCGACAGAGGAGGGAGACCGTCTTGAGAATGCATCGCGCGCGACCGACGTGCTCTCCACTTTGCATAATACCGCTCTGCTCGTTAACTCGATGACATTCGAACAAAATGCCGCCGTTTCGCCTTACGACGGGAGCGTCGCGTCTCGCGGGGGACGATTCCTCTTTATACGCTCTTCTTTACCGCTCTCCACAGAGTCCGCTCGGCGCGGCGCCCGCGCCCGTATTATTTCTCTCTTTGCCCTTTCTATTGTCTCCCGGCTCGCGCTCGGGCATATTTAAGCGGCGCAGTTACGCGAAACGAATTGCATTGCTCTAGCGCAAACGATAAACACCGACGGTAAATTCGCCCGTCGCGGATAGTAAATAATAACAGCTCCCGTCTCCCGCCGGATATTCCGTTTTAATCTCCGCCGGCGAGGTGGTCGCGATCCGATCGCGTGTTTCGGCCCGGAGACTGTTAATTTGCACCTTCGGGATAAATTGAAGGCTTGACGTAAAAATGGGCGTAAGCGTGTTGGTCGCTTACGGGAAATATCTTTTTCCGTAGGAAAGATTATGTCAAGCCCAACAGCAACGATCGCGCTCACACACGCAAACACATGCATACATATGTAAATACTACGTATTTTATCTGCGATTCTTCTAAAAGTATGAACGACTTCTCTTGAAATTTCTGTCCACGATTCTTCATAACTTCATAACACTTCTCCAATTTAGTTAACTAACGATTTTTAATTTGTACATTGTAATGTAATTTAGAAAACCGCACTAAATGAAAGAAACCGCGCACGTGACTAAAGATTGGGGAGTTTTTGCAATACCGTCTTTCAGATACGGTAAACGTTATCTGAATTGTTTAGATACATTCACTCTGTATCTGAACAATTCAGATACGGTTACCGTGTCTGAAAGACGATATTGCAAAAACTCCCTAGTAGATTCAATACGCGCGTTACTTCTATTTGTGAGTTGAAATGATAAAAAGAACAGAATTCGATATATACTTATTTCACAGTGCGATTGAATCGTGCGTTACTACGATTCTTACAAGACGACTTAGGCCAGTCAAATTAGACAAAAAAAAGGCTTTTGCTCTCAAGTGATGCGAACTTTTTTATTCCTTTTTGGGCGTGTTGGGGGTGTTTAGAAAAGCTTATTTTTGAGTTGTCGTATTATGAGACCCAGAGCTTTTTGAGAGGGGGGAGGGGGAACCAATTTTTGACGAATCGGAACGAGTCTCCGCTCATTTTCTTCGTTTTTTCAAGCCCTACAGCTTTCTCAGGAGCGAAAAAGTGCTATCTATTAATCGAAACGAGATAAATGCAAAAAACCGCGAAAATTTTATTTTTTTGGGGAACCAAAATTTTCGTTTTTTTGCAATAACTCGGCGAATGTTGATAAAAAATGAATGACTAACCCCTCGTTTTGTAGCTGAGGGGTTAGTCATTCATTTTTTATCAACATTCACCGAGTTATTGCGAAAAAACGAAAATTTTGCATTTATCTCGTTTCAATTAATAGATAGCACTTTTTCGCTCCTGAGAAAGTTGTAGGGCTTGAAAAAACGAAGAAAATGAGCGATGACTCGTTCCGATTCGTCAAAAATTGGTTCCCCCTCCCTCCTCTCAAAAAGCTCTGGGTCTCATGATACAACTCAAAAATAAGCTTTTCTAAACACCCCCAACACGCCTAAAAAGGAATAAAAAAGTTCGCATCACTTGAGAGCAAAAGCCTTTTTTTTTGTCTAATTTGACTGGCCTAACTAGGTTTGGATGTGACACTTGTGTATACGAAGCTCGGCGGCGTTCGGCGCCCCCCCCCCCCGCCCCTTGTTTACGTTGCGTACCATTGTCCGTGAACGCGTTCGGCTTGTTATTGTCGTCATTCGAGGCTCGAGTCGCTATATACGAGCGTTTTTGCGTGCCAGTGCGTCATTAATCCTCGAAACGCGATAAGTACTTATACGAGGTGAAAACGCGATCGCTCCGAAACCGTATTGCGAGTGTGGCAGCCCGCTCGTTCTCTCAACTTTCCCAATCTTCGAGCGTATCGAGATGACGATGTTTTAGCGAAACGAATATATTTCGCGCAAGCGAATATGGGAATTGTTAAATTAATCGTTTTACCGCGACGCGCTTTATATATTGTTTTTTTTTTTAATTTAACTAAGCTCTTGGATTTTATATACACATATATATCTTCATATCGTGCTTTGAATTCCTTGCCGAACTTTACGTGTAATTTTTCTATCGCTTTTTCACATCAAGAGCGCGGAGGGATACATTAATTACCGGGTTATAGTAACGGCATGATGTCTCGTTTATTTTTTATTATTATAATAATATATTTCGCGGGTTTATGCCTTTGAAGTGTAGATATTACACGCGCTCAATATAATATTTCTGTGATGTACGTATTTTCGGGCGATCGATCATATTTTAATTAAACATTAATTTGTATCGCGCGGTATATCAGAGTGAAGTTGTCGCCGTCACACTTTCGTGCTTTTCAATTATTAACGTCGCGGACACCGAGCGACTCGGTTCTCCGTATCGAGCGGCGCGGGGCGGCGCGCCGCGCGGCGTCGCGTTCGCGTTTAGTTAGCAAATACGACCGTAATCGATCTCGTACTCGATATATTTTAATATTTGCCAACCGCAAGCGGTGAATTCGGCGACGGTACGTCGACGATCCGTCGAAACCGCGATTTATTCCAAGGTTTATTCGATCGTGATCCGTCGCGCGAGCGGTCGGCGCGCGGCGCGGCGGTACAACGATCACGCCGCTTCGGAACATCGCGGATATCCATTTTCAACGGTGATTCTGTAATACACATCTGTTAATTTTACGCCGTAACGGAAAGAGGCAGTGGCTGGTTCTAAAGCGCGATTGTTCGCTATTCGTTTTCCAGGAGGCGGAAGGTGTGCGAAGGTGCAGCTAGTGCAACAGGTGCAGCATCGGCGGGTGCGGGGCGGGTGGAGCGTGAAGTCGGCCGCGCAATTTTCGGGGACTCTCTCCCAGATTCGTCCGTTACGTTAATCTACGAGACGCGATCGTCGAGCGGCCCGTACATACGTACACATACGTATTATACTCGTGTTATTCTATTCCCGTCGCAACAAAACGACGCGTCGGATACAGTGATGTCGATTTAAGACGCGAATCACGGATTTTTTTCCCTCCCCTACAGAGCATCTTGTGCGTGTAGTCTGGCGTCAGTGGTCGAGTGTGCCGTTGAAAAGTGTTGCGATCCGCCACAGCATAGACACGTAGGTATGTTCACTCCGTGTCGGCGCCTTTGAGCTGAAGTGAAATGGTCGGTCGTGATATTTGTGAAAATCGTATGATCGTATGTCTGTCCTTCTTCGACGTTCATGGAAAAGGACAGACATACGATCTCTCTCTCTCTCTCCTTCTCCGTTTCATTGACCGCCATATTGTTGAGTGTGCGGAACCATTTCAGTCATTTCACGGGTTTCGGCGGGAGGGGCGGGAGTGTACATACTGTATCTACTTATACTGGGAGCTTCCCAGAAGCGATCCAAGTCGACACAAGTGTCGTTTTGCCTTCGTTCCTCATTGCTAACAAAGAAAGATAGAACGACGTTTGTGTTGACTTGTGTCGCTTGCTGGAAAGCTCCCATCGCGGCATCGTGACTCGCGTCGGATTCCAACGGTTAATTCGCGCGCGATTACAACCTCGCCGCGAAGAATGCTGTGCCCCACGGAGGAGCGGCATCGGGATCGTCCTCGGTCAGTGGTCTCGGGTGTGCCGTGAAAAGTGTTGCGACTCCGCGTTCTATTCCGATGGTTAATTCGCGCGCGATTAACCTCGCCGCGAAGAGTGTGTGCGTCACGGAGGAGCAGCATCGGGATCGTCCTCAGTCAGCGGTCGGGTGTGCCGTGAAAAGTCGGGAATGCCGTGAAAAGTGTCGCGACTCCGCGTGGTATTCCGATGGTTAATTCGCGCGCGATTAACCTCGCCGCGAAGAGTGTGTGCGTCACGGAGGAGCAGCATCGACGGGAGCTGAGAGCTGAGAGGAGGAGGAGGCCCGGGGAGGCATCAGGCGTCGGCGAATCAACCCAAGGGTGAGTAATTTATCGTCAATTTATTACTTCGCTTGTTGAATCGCTTATCCCTGTCTCACGGCGCGTTCCACGCGTCATTTTGCGCCATTGTTATGTAATATTAAGTATATATTTTTTAAAGAGAGTTTTAAAGAGGTGCTCTCTCTCTCTCTCTATTTTTCGTAAAACGTCTTTAATAAAGTACGTAATTATATAATATATAAATATCTCGAAATATTTCAATATCACTTATTTACTTGATATTTATTTGAAAAACAAAAGGAGAAAATTAATGCGCGCACAATAATTAATTATCTTTCGAAATACCGTTTGTTATTTTGGACGATGCTATAATTCGGATTCGTTTGTGTGTTGCAGATCAACGTCTACAATTTCGCTGCTGCGCATCGTGTGTCTGTGAGTAAAATTATTTGATTTCTTTTTATTTGATTATTTGAGTTCTTTGATTTCTGTAGAATTGGCCACTGATTTAAAATTTGTTTCAAGGATTTATTATTGTTCATTGCCATTCTTATAGTTGAATAGGAATCTTCTAAATGTTTATAGAAACTCTCATCTGTTTCATTTATTGTATTCAAGGAAGTTTTTAAATTGTCCTTATTCAAAATCGCTTCGTTAGGTTGTGGGTCCCAATTACAACAGCCGCTTGTAATGTTTGCCATTTTTTTTTATTGTTTTCCTGGAATTTTTCCAGCTGTGATGGATTTTCGTTTGAACGGCCTATTTAAATAATTGTTACGTTTAATGAGTTTCATTGTTAAGGTAAAGCATCCATCTCCTGTAACGACGTTGTCAGAATCGATGTCTTTGAATATTGGATATCGCTCACGTAACTTATTAGCTATAATTTTAAAAGCACTCATTGGAATTTTGGTCTTAATATTGCGCATTTCATCTACAATAGTATGTACAACTTGTGTTTGGATACGTCTACGTCGTTCAAGTCATGTCTTAGCAGCTTCGCCGTCAGTTTCTAAAATCTCTAAAGGTACTGGTTTATCAATTTCATCTTTTACATCATTGGTAAATTTTTCAAACGGTATCTTTCCAAATAATTTCATAATTTGTTTGTAAATTATTTGATGGCTCGTAGGTAGGAGCATCGGTACACTGAGAGAAATGTCTGGTGACGCTATCCAGAATTCAGGATCGGTTTACCAAACAGTATAGTGAATAATCGTGTAACAAGACGTCTAGTTAATAATACCAAACTATCTGGTAAGCGCATTGTCTGATTAGAATTACAGCAATGTTTAGATATGTTTACCAAACTGTCTAGTATAACGTACGATTCATTTGATGAGCGTTACGAACCTCTATTCGTAACTGCTTCTCCGTCTCCATAAGCTCTGTTTTTCCTTATTCATACATTCATTTCGGGATAAAATTATATATCCAATCTTTGAATCCCGTATATGTTTCTTTTAATGTATTTAATCCAAGGGATTCATACATTTTTTCCCAGATATTTTCAAATGGCCACGTTCATTTCGGGATCTAATTATATGTCCAATCCTTGAATCCCGTATATGTTTCTTTTAATGTATTTATTCCAAGGGATTCATACATTTTTTCCCAGATATTTTCAAATGGCCACGTCCATTTCGGGATCAAATTATATGTCCAATCCTTGAATCCCGTGAATGTTTCTTTTAATGTATTTAATCCAAGGGATTTAATTTTTTCCGTGATATTTTCCAATGTATAGTTTACATGTCTTTTTATAATTAAATCGTTTAATCCATCAGATAAGTATATATATATATATATATATATATTATTCCAAAAGAAGCAATTAATAATATTGTTATTAACAGTACTATCAGTACTGTTAGAATCGTATTAGTTTTCCTCGACATTTTCGCTGCTGTAATAAATGGCCGGTAAATCTGAATATATCTCTTTACTATCGCTCAGTTTAATAGATCGTTTATCCTCGGTTAGAGATTCTATTCGTAACGCTCATCAAATGAATCGTACGTTATACTAGACAGTTTGGTAAACATATCTAAACATTGCTGTAATTCTAATCAGACAATGCGTTTACCAGATAGTTTGGTATTATTAATTAGATATTGTTACACGATTATTCACTATACTGTTTGGTAAACCGATTTTGAATTCTGGATAGTGTCACCAGACATTTCTCTCAGTGTAGTCAATATATCTCTAAAAAATACGGTATCAATTTTATTTTTGGTTAAAATAAATACAAAATTTATGTTTATAAAACATTTTATTACAACAAAGAAATAGTTTTAATATACAGAAAATAAGAAGTTTCATTCAAATAAAGTTAGGTTTATAGTCACAACTTAAAAACAACTTAAAAAAAAAAAACTAAAATTAGCAAGTAATCCAAAAAGGTATATAAAACACATTTACATAGGAGAATGTCTTACATTTATTTTTACATAGTTGATTATGTGTTATAATCATATCATGTAATAAACTCATATAATAAACACATGTACTTGCTTTGGCAGTAAATTAATCTCTGAAGTAGAATATACGATTTAATTATAAATGTAGCAATTAACTTACATTGAAATTTAATATACATATATAATATTATTATAGCGCATATCTAGTTGCCGCAACATCAATGCCACATTTTTTTTATATTTTATAGCCAAAAATGGATTCAGAAAATCTTCAATAAAATAACATTTCCATGTACAACTTTCATTAACAACATAATATTGCATGTCATCATCATAACTTATAGTATTTAACATCTTACAAACTAAACATTCGGCAAAACATTCGGGGTAGGCCCGGGGACCGGGGACCGGGGACCCGGGGAACGAATCGCGCAAGCGAGAGAGCGATTTCCCCCCAGTACTCCCCACCGCACCGGCTGTACGTACAGACGCCGTCTGTATATACATACAGGCTGTTACAGCCGGTGTGGTGGGGAGAAATCTATCCTACCTATTGCGGCGCACTCGGCGCACACCCCTGTTGAGCTGGCCCCCCCACCTTGCAGAAATTAAAAAACAAATAGCGCTAAATTACAAGCTATTTATGAGCTTTCATATCCCGTAGGATCGCCGCGTGATAAACTCCATGGCTGCGCGATGGCACACGATACACGCCTCGTGCGCACGTTGAATAACGATATGCGCCGCGTGGTATACGCGCGCCTTACTTTTTCGTCATCGTCGTCGTCGTCGAACTTAAATTAAGCGATATAGAGAATTCAATCAGTCTACTTACCATCGGACGACATTGCCAAGGGTAAAAGATCACCAGCGGCCTTCAGTTGATCGAACTTATCTATTAGCAGAAGCATTCTGTAAGCAGAAGAAACGAGCCGTTTACATAACGTTGCGATCGAGAATTTTATGGTCGTCGTCGTCGTCGTCGTTGTCGTTGTCGTTGTCGTTGTCGTTGTCGTTGTTGTTGTCCATCGACGGTAATGGTGCGACGACGAATGAAGAATCGCGACGATCCTTAGTCTCGCGATTGGAGACGCGAGTCGACTGACGCCTACCTCGAGCGTTGTTCTGACGTATTATTTTAAGTTCTCGCCTCACGTGTTCCAACGTCACAGGCGCTTGATCGGTCACCGAGTCTTTTTTCACCAGGTCCCACGCGTAATAATCCTTCCAACCTCGCACGACGCACAACGGAAATACGTCGACGTTGTCTCTGATAAAGTCGGTGAGCGTCGTCGCGAAACGACGTTCGTCCGTTATTCGGACTACCATTTGCGCGATGCGCGCGAAATTGGTGTTAGGCTCGTTTAGAATAGCCTGCGTTATAACTTCCGGTCTCACTTCGTCGCGCATAGTCGCGCGACATTCTCGCGTTGGGTGCGTTTCGTACTCCTTCAAAAAGGACTCGAGCCGGAATGCTCGTTCGTACGTGTTAAAGTAATGCTTCGTCATTTTGTCTATCTGGTCGGTCGTTAATTTATCGGCGGCTACCAATCTCGAATACGCCCACGTAGCGTACAAAACGATGAAAAATCTCAGGATAACCGTCGTCTCGTCCTGGTCCTTACCCTCCTCCTCCTCCCGTGCCTGAAGCGCGTCCATTTCGAAAATGACATCTCGCGCGTGTCGAATGGCGATCATGTGGCACGATCTGATGACGTTCGAAGAAAAGAGCGGGTAAACGAACTCGTCCGTTGGATCGTCCCACGGACGCACTTGTATCACGCCTCTGTTCTCCGATTGCATCTCCGATTTGTGAAGAAACATATTCCCGGTAATTTCGTAGTTGTAAATAAGACTGAGACCGTGAATGAAATACATGCACCGCCATTCCGCGCGATGCGACCGACTGATGATGGAAGATGGCGTCCATGGCAGCGTCAAGTACCGAGGGTTCGCGAATCTGGCCATTTCCTCCATATGTATGAGGTCCGGTCCGATACATTGTTGCACGTGTCTCGCCCAACTGGAAACTTTGTATAGTACGTTGCGCGTCAACATCAACCGCGACATGACGCACATCTCTTCCGGGTTGTACACGCCGTGGCTGCGAATAACTTCCGACATGGTCCCGTTTATTGTCAACGAGTCGAAAGTCAACACTTTTTCGTTGCGCAACGCGTGGTCGTCCACCACGTAGTGCTTGCGATAAGCCAGAAAATCCGTGACGTATTGTTTTGCCACGGAGGAGAAAACTTTCCCGCCTTCGGCGAAACGTCGACAGATGACGTATGCCCTCGTAAAACCAGAATCCGTCGGTCTGGCCATTTTCGCCGCGGCGCAGTAACACTGCGCGTACGTCACGATATGACGGTCTGTCGGCGGGAAAACACTATCTGAAACCGATATCTGTAATTTATTTGTGTATGTTTCACATGGCTTTGTCTAAGGAGGTCTTCTTCTTCGATGGCACTACAGCCCAGGGCGGGCCATTGCCTCCCGAATTTTGGACCTCCAGACGTCCCGATTCGCGGCCTCTCTCTTCTAGTTGTTCACTTGCAGTCTTCGCATCCGCGGTCACACCGTCCTCCCATCTGTTCTTCGGCCTTCCCCTCGGGCGTCCTCCCAAAAATCTCGTCTCCAGCACTCTCCTCGGCATTCTCCCCGCATCCAGTCGTTGCACATGCCCGGCCCATCTGAGCCTCATGAGGCCTATATATGTGGATAGTTCGGGTGCCCCATATAACCGGTACAGCTCGTGGTTATATCTGATTCTCCACATGCCATTCTCCTGTGTCGGGCCGTAGATTCTTCTCAGGACTTTCCTTTCGAAGGCATCTAAAACGCTTGAGTCGCTCGAACAACGCCAACTCATATA